TATGATTCATCAAACAGTGAAACAGATCAAGATGATCCTCGTGTCGCTTCGCTTTTCATGGAGGAAGATGAAGTTGTGGGTATTGAGTACACCAGAGAAGAATTGGTTGACATGTTGGTAAGCGGAGAGACAAATCGGATGGTGATCTCGCTAGTAGGTATGGGCGGTGTTGGAAAGACCACTCTTGCTAAGAAAGTTCACGACAATCAAAAAGTACTTGCGCACTTTGATTGTCGTGCTTGGATCACTGTTTCTCAATCATACAAGATAGAGGAGATCCTCAGAACGATGATAAAGCAGCTATACCAATCAAGAAATGAGTCTCCACCTCCGGGAATCGATGCTATGGACCAAAACTCGCTCATTGACAACGTCAGAGGATATTTACTTCAAAAGAGGTATGAAATTGTTTTTGACGATGTTTGGAGAACAGACTTTTGGAGATTCATAAAACATGCTTTACCTAAAACTAGCAAAGGAAGTAGGGTAATTATAACCACGCGCAACAAAGAAGTTGCTAGTTTTTGCAAAGAATCTTCACTTGATTATGTCTATGAGATTCAGTCCCTACCTGAAAACGAGGCTTGGAGACTCTTTTGTATGAAAGCCTTCCAATGGGACTTTGGGGGTGTTTGTCCCTCTGAATTGGAGGAAGTATCTCGCGAAATTGTTAGAAAATGTGAAGGATTACCCCTTGCAATTGTGACAATAGGCGGTCTGTTGTCCACTAAAAATAGGGTTGTATCCGAATGGAAAAAATTCTATGATAGCCTTGGCTCTGAGTTAGAAAGGAATCCTAATCTTACAAGCATCAAACAAATTGTGTTGCTTAGTTACCACAATTTGCCTTACTTCCTCAAACCATGTTTCTTGTACTTCAGTATAATACCCGAGGATTATTCCATCAATTGTGGAAGACTAGTTCGACTTTGGATGGCTGAGGGTTTTATTGAAGAACAAAAAGGCAAAACATTGGAAGAAGTTGCAGAAGAATACTTGATTGAGCTCATCCTTAGAAACTTGGTTCAAGTGTCAAGCACAAAAATTAATGGAAGAGTTAAGAATTGTCGGGTTCATGATGTAGTGCGTGAGATCATCCTCTCAAAGTCCGAGGAGTTGAGTTTCTGCCATGTTTTAGCAGACGAGGATTCAAGTCTCAATAATCAAAGTCAACGACTATCAATGCATATGAAGAACAGAATGGATAAGGTTCTGGAAAGCACACATATTTCCCGAATTCGTTCTTTTTTTCTTTTTGCAGTGGGAGAGCTGCCAAACAAGTCCTTGTTGGGTGAACTAGCTGCAAATTTCAAGCTTTTAAAAGTACTAGATCTTCAAGATGCTCCTCTAGATCAACTACATGAAGAAGTGGGGAATCTACTTCATTTGCGATACCTAAGTGTGAAGAATACAAGTGTGAAGACAATTCCAAAGTCTATTGGTAAGCTACAAAACCTGCAAACTTTGAATTTGAAATACTCTCTCGTGTTTGAGCTACCAATCGAGATCAATAGGCTCCATAAATTGCGACATCTTCTAAGCATTTCTTTTAACTATGATATTGATATAAGTTTGGATAGTATAAGAGGAGTGAAGATAAAAGGAGGGATCGGGCGTTTAGAACAGTTGCAAAAGCTGTGGGTTGTGGAGGCACTTGAAGAAGAAGAAGAATGGGGCAACCTTGTTTTCAAAGAGCTGGAAAATTTGAGGCAGTTGAGGAAGTTGGGCGTTCTAAAAGTGAGAAGAGAAAATGGGAGGGTTCTTTGTGCTGCCATTGAGAAGATGAAACACCTTAGAGTTTTGGGGATACGGGCTAAAAGTGAAGATGAGATTATGGATTTACATTCTATTTCTTCACCACCTGAATATCTTCAACGTCTCTACTTGGGGGGATATTTAGTGACGTTGCCAGATTGGATCCCAAAACTACAACATCTACTTGCAATACGTCTACACTGGACAGGTTTGACTGCTAATGCAATAAAATCCCTTCAAGTGTTGCCTAATTTACTAAAGCTTGATATCTATCAGGGTTATGAGGGACAGAGATTGCAGTTTGAGGTTGGAGGGTTTCAAAAACTTAAGGTGTTATATCTACAAGGCTTGAAGCGATTGAATTCCATGGTAATAGAGGATGGAGCGTTGCCTCTTCTTGAAGAACTATGGATTGGGCCTAGCCTGAAACTGAAGGAGGTACCCTCTGGCTTCCACCACCTGAAAAGACTCGCAGCTCTTTCCTTTTATGATATGCCAATAGAGTTCTTAGATAGAATGCAACCGGACGGAGGAGAAGACTATTGGATTATTCAACATATACCCGATATCAAGTTCTCGTTCAAGTCTAGAGGATTATACTACAAAACCTATAGCCTTCGAGATTTCCATGTCACACGTGAAAGACAAAGGTCTGAGTAAAGCTCAAAGCACCAAAAATGTCAATTCAAGGTTTGCTCCCTAAATTTTCATGCTATACAATTAATTTCTCGGTTCATGAATAATTTCACTCGACATGTTTTGATATTATAGATGAACTTGATTTAGCCACTATAAATCCAATTTAGGGAACATAATTCTTTCTTGGATTTGAAACTTGGATGAACTCCAATTCAGATTCCACAATGCTAAATACAACAAATTTCTTTTGTCAAGGTTTCTCTCTAAAACATTTAAAAGTATTTTCTCTAAAAACTCTAAAATCTGAAACAATTTTTTTAGTATTTTTAATATGATACTTTTTTTGTTTTTATTTTAGTTCTTTCCATTGTTAATGCTTGTTGCATTTTTTGTCATAGGAAATATAGATGTGCATCGAAGTTGACAGATTCTGGTCTTGCTGCCAACACAGACGGTTGAAGGAAATTCAATTGCAGGGGATTAGAAAATACAAAATTGAAATTTTCTGATGAATACCTCTCTGGTTACTGTTGGTTTTCATTTTCGTTAGGTTGGTTTTTTACAGTGTGAAAAGAGAAAAAATGGCATCTCCTTCCCTCCCTCCAAAATCAACATGGTTCTTTCTTATGTTTTATTATTATTGTTGTTGTTGACCAAGACAATATGTGTGGATTTCTCTTAGTATGCCTTGTTATCATCCACTCCTTTGTTGTAACATCATTGCAGTGTGTTCTATATCTTTTTCTGATCTTTTATTCTGCAATCAATCTAAGTATTTTTTTTTTTAACATTATCTGTAGTTCACACAAATAATTCATCTAGTTTCAATCGACTTTAGGAGATGCATTGATCAATTGTGAATTTTTATTATAACCAAACTGGTTCTACATTACTTTTCTTTTTTCTAATTATTCACACAACAGGATTCTAGCTAGGTGTCATGACATAAAGAGTATACTGGTATCATTCTAGCTAGGTGCCATGGCTTAAGAGTGCAATCTCAGAATTTATTAGGAGGAAAAAAGACTTCTAGCAATATTAAGAGGGCAAGATAGGTTTTGGAAAGTTGAAATCTGAAGCTTGAAAATGCAAATTGCAGAAGACAAATAAAAAGTGCTGTAGTTTGAAGAAGTGAAAAATTTGCATCTTGGAATTTATTTGTAGAAGAGAAATTTGTGTACCATAGGTCATTGTAAAACTTTTTTTAGTAACATCTAAATGGGAATAGAATGAAGTTTTGGAAACACAAGTTGTGTTGAGAAGGGGCTCTTGATAGAGCCTTTCTTGCTATTTTCTTCTTCTTGTTGACAACTAAGAGTTATAGATACGGGCACGCGGCACAATAACTTTTAAAATATACAAGACATGACATGTAGGGAGACACAAAATGCATAGTTTAGATAGTTATTATATGTCATTTATATGAATATCTTATTCACTGATAAATACAGAACAACAATACTCTTAACTCTCGAGGTCGAAAGGAGGGATTAATTTGTATAAATCTACTTTGTTTTTCATTTATCATTGTGTGACTAGGTACTTAACTTACAAAAATAAATCATTATTTGTAAGTGATTAATACGCTTGTCCAACTGTTCAAAGTGTGTCCAAATCTTAAAAAATAAACAAATGATACAATACTTGTTGGGTAGCAACTGACTGAGTGTCGACACTCCACCTTGGGAGTGTTTGTGCTTCTTCGGTTTGATAAAGAAGCCTTGATGGTAGCTTATTTTAAGGGTGTGGGTAGAGATGTCTTTTGAGATGTTGGGCTGAGGAGGAATTTGCGAAAAACGGATTGGGTCTTTCATATAGATGTGAAGGTATTTTGTGTAGTTGGTGGGGATTGGGGAGGCAGGGTGGGTAAGTAAAGCAGAATTCGTGGTGTTTAGCTCCATTGTGCTTGATGTGGCTTATTTAGGAGCATTTTACAAGGGGACCTTCACAATAGTAGAATGAACCTACGAAGCATAGATATGGACTTATGGACACGTGAGATACCAAATGCAAACGACATGTGCCAAATATATAATTTTACAAATTTATTATATGTTATATATTTGAATATTACATATTTATTCTCTTTGCATATGTTACTCTAATGATTTAAATAATTATAATAAATAAATAGGACACTGTGTGTCCCCAGCGTCACTTCCTCCTGTGTCCAACACTCGTATGTAACCTCTGAGAGGTGTTCGTACTTCATAGATGCCTCTATATAGACTTAAGGTAGTAGTATTATTATTGTTTTGATTATTTAGCCTATTTTGTATAATTCGTTGTCAAGGAAGGTTATGCCTAACATAGATAATATTTTGTGAATTCTTTTTACTTATAAAAATTTAAGGACTTTTTTTTTTGTTTATTTTGTGAGAAATTTTCTAATGTTCTCAGAGTAATACTCCACGTTAGGGGTATGCGCGGTGTGGTTTGATGCGATTTGACATAAAAATTATAATCAAATCATGGATAACAGATTGATAACTTTGTTATCCGTAATCAAACTGCGGGTTGAGCAGTTTCAACCTATTAATTGATTAGTGTAATATCTATGAAAAATATTGTGTAAAATAATATGTTAAATTTAATAAATTCAGTACCTGAATTTCTGTCATCCCCACCCCCAAACCCCTTCTTCCTTTCCTCAAGCAGGATCTGCAACAACCAAATTACCAAACACATGCCAAATAATATATGTATATGTATACATATGTACGTATCTATAAAATAAAAAAATTAAAAAAAGAGATAGAGAGACAGAGTGACAAGAGTTTAATATTGAGATAGAGAAAAATCTTACCATTACAAAGCAGTCATTGAAATGGGTACTCAATGACTCTGCTTTGCATATTCATCTTTATTTGTAGAATGACTGTGGTAGTCATATTTATCTTTATTTGTCATTCATCTATAACAAATCACAAATCAATAGCAAGATCCAATAAAAAGATGACAAATTAACTGAATTTGAAACTTACATGCCTTGAAATCAATAGAGGGGCGTGTGAGAGCGGTGAAAGCAACTGTCAGTGAACTTACACTTGGTTTGGACTGAGTAATTTGGTGAACAATAAAGAAAAACAGAAGTTAGGCTTCCATGTAGCTCCTAATAGATGAATTTATTGTTCAATAAGTCTTACGATAATTAATGACATTTTTCATCAAACATTATTAAAAAAACATTACTAATTGTTAATTTTAAGCGATAGTTAGAAAATTTTGCGACAAAAAATATTATTAATTCTAAATTTTAGCGACAGTTTAAAAAATCGTCACAAAAAAACATCACTAAGCGATAGTTTAAAAAAAGTGTCACAGAAAAGCGTTACTAATTGTAAGTTTTAGCGACAATTTATGAAAACCGTGACAAAAAAAAGTCACTAAATATCAAGTTTTAGCGACATGAGAAAAATTATTTTTAGCGATAATTTTATTAAGATTTTTTTTTTTAATACCAAAAGTGATAAGATTTAATAAGGAACATGTCCATTAGTTATAAAATATTTATAATATTAAGATTATCCCTTAAAATATAAAAAAATAAATCTCGTTTATATTACTTTCCAATTTATCTAAATATGATAATGAGAAAACATAACTACTTTTTTTTCTTTTTTTTTTGAGGAAATTTTATTTTACCTCCTAAACTATATCCTTCTAATCAATTTCATACCAGAACTTTTAATATTGTCAATTTACCCCCTCACCTATTTTAAATCGTGATTAATTTGCCCTCTGTCATCACCTATTTTAAATCGTGATTAATTTGCCCTCTGTCATCATATTTAAATGCAAAAAGTTAGAAAAAAAATTACAATTTGGTCCCTAATTTTAAATTATAGATCCAAACTCACCATTTTTATTCTCCTCTCTCACCCAAACTACCACTCTCTCCTCTCAACCAAACAACCATCACCACCACACCATTGCCATCATTAGTTGCCACCGCCACCACACACTCTAGATTCATCATCCTCTTACCCACAAACCATCACCAAATTTCACCACCAACAACATGAAGTGTTCAAGATCTAAAACCTTCAAACCTAGATTAAAAAAATAGTTTTGTTAAAGCGTAATATGCAACTTTTCACTAATCTACCTCCACCAAATCCACACATGTTACATGGCTTAAGCAATTGCTCAAATTTTACGGAGCAATTTCAATATTAGAATGTGTCACTTTTAGAAAATGGCTCTACTAAGTCAAATATTTTAGTTGAATTGGGTTTCTGTTCTTTGTTAGAAATAAATAATCAAAATTTGCTATATATATATCTAGACGAAAGAAGAAAAAAAAAAAAAAAAAAAAAGTCCAACTATTAAGACCTATTGGTAGTTTACCCAAAATTTATTTCATATCTTAATTCTTTGAACATTCTATTATCAAATTTAAAATTTTCTTTAAACATCCCACTCACCCACCGATTGGGTATTATCTCTGCCATTTCCTCCCTCTCAAACCCTAACCCACCCAACACGCGAGTAGAGAGAAAAAAGGAAATATGTGAGCAGTGGAAATGAGAGAGAGAGAGAAGAGAGAGAGAGAGAGAGAGAGAGAGAGATGCGATGATCTACTTCGAGTGGCGGGGGTGGATCGACGGAGGGCTTCTTCGCTTCAGATCTGTTCAGATCGGTTTCTTCAGATCTGTTCTGAGTCTGCGTGAGTCCATGAGTGAGTTAGCAAGCCACCTTATGGCGCTGTTTAGCAACCTGAGATTTAGGCTATTATAGCCTAAAATTGAGAATCAGCCCAAAAGCCTAGCAAATTTTTTCTTGATTTTCAAAAAAAAAAAAATTGACTGTTAGTCGGCTGCTGCAGCAGTGCAGCCTACACTGCCACCAACAGTGTAGGCTGCAGGTTTGCTAAATTACATTATTACCCCTATTCCTTAATTTTTAAAAAAAATAAAGTGAAAGGTAAATTTGTAATTTCAATTTAAACATCATTTCAAACACATTTTTCAATACAACAATCAACCTAAAAATTTAACTCAACTTCCCAAACACAAAACTAAAATAATCTACTAAAATAGTCAAAAAGTCAAATAGCCTACTAAAATAGCCACTTTCCAAACGAGGCCTATAAATTATCCAATTAGGCTTCATGTATCTTCAATCAATTTAAATGAGGGGGTATTATTGACACCGTAATTTTAAATTTTTTTTTTTTTTGTTTTTGTTGATTGTGACCTATTGAGTGGAGCCAAATATAATTTATATGATTGTGGTCTATCAATTATGGTTCATTGAATCAGGCCATAAACTATTTTTATAATGAACTTGGCCACATTTATTTCTATTATTATTAGTATAATTTTGATCATTATTATTAGGACAAATTTCTTTTTACCTATTATAGTTTGGGTCATGTGCAGTTTACTCATAACATTTGAAAATGATCACATAATCTCATGTGATTTATGGACTAAAACACACAATTAACTTATCCGTTCAAGATAACACATTGAGAGAGTCACGCACTTGTAGAGAGAGTAACATTATTTTTAAGACAAAAATGCCCTTGGCACAAATTTATAAACAATGCTATTTAATTATTTCTCTGTACTCTCTTCATCTCGACCATCAGCACCTCCTCTTCTTTTCCTATTTTATCTTCTCATTTTCTCTTCTTCTTTTCTTTTTTCCATCTTCCCCCATGATCAAACCACTTCCACTACATAATCACTTCACCTACCCATATACATTGTACCCTTGTTGAGAAATTGGTAGAATGCCGGAGGGGTTACCCATGAACCAAACAAAAAAATTTATATGAAAACCGCTAAATGCTGATAGAGCCATGAATTGTGAAACCCCTGTGAGAACCCAAATATAAAAATCAAGTAAATAATTAAATCATAATAATATTACAATCTCAAATATTTTGGTGATGAATTCTAAATTACAAATTAAATATTTTGAAGGTCTTTTAATTAATTTTAAAATCTAAAATAAATTTATGGTGAAAGTCTTTAATTTAAAGGCAAGATTTATTATTTAAAATAAATAGATAAATAAATAAAATTAAGTGCCAAATTAGTAAACATATTTTGATCTAATAATATTTGTATTTTAATGGAAATAAAAATTTAAAATAATATAAGGAGATAATAATTTAAAACCTTTTGTTTAGATATAAAAAAAAAAAAAAACCCCTAGTTTTCCTAACAAAAGCCCTAACCAAAAACCCTAACCCTTATTATAATTGTTTTCCACACCACTTTCAACACATAGCAGCCGTGAGAGAAAGAAAGGAGAGAGAGAAAGAGAAGCTACGTTGGGTTGTCTCTAGGAATCATCTGAATCTAAAGCAAATTCTTCAAGGTAGACTAATGTTTTAATTGTTTTGTCTCTTCTTTTACATTTTTTTTTCCCCCTTCTTTCTTCATTGTGATGTGCCGTTTGGCACTGTTTTGGGTATTCCTGAGTACTGTTTTGGATATAGTGTATGGCTTGTGTGCAGAGGTTATTTGGAGGATGCCATGTATGGCTTTGGTAAGGTGAAGGCCTGAAGGTGTGTTTGGGTGGTATGGGGTTGGATTGTGAGAGTGCAATGTAGAGGGTGTAAATTGTAGCCTAAAAATTATGCATAGAATTACAAACTTTAAAAATCAAGAAACCATATCAAACAAATGAATTTTGAACTGAAATTTTTACAGTAGATCAATCACATATTGAATTGCATATCTGAATTTTTTCATAATTTTTTGGAGTTAAAATCCATATAAACTGATGTGTTCAAATCTGTCTAGAAAACTGGTTGTGAACAGTAAGTTCGGGAGTGTTGTTCTCTTTGGGTATAAATTCGAAAATTATCAAATTAGTGCCATTAGAACCAGTTACGAGTCTAGTTTCTTACATTTTTTGCCTTGTATTGATTGCTCGTGTATATTAAGAGAACCGTCAATTTTTTAAAAGTGCTGCAGAAAACAACTTATTTGGATATAATAAATTGTAGATAATTATTTTGATAAACAAATCAAGTGAAACCAATTGGGTTTGAAACTTAGGATATATTAGTTGATATCTGGAGGTTTTTGGAATTTTTCGAATAGCGTGGAGTGAGTTTTGTAATTTACAAAGTTAGCGAATAGATTGAGAAAACTTGTTTAAAACTCTGTTTTATCTTAAAGTTATTTTTAGTTAAGCTTCGATCGGAACCCATGTCTTGGGTGATTTTAGACCTTGAAGAACATGAACTTAGGTAACTGTTAAGAGTAATGGTGAGTTGGGTTGAGCCGTGTTAGTGCGCTTTAGTTTGGGGTTACTTAGTTTATTATTCCTTTTAGTATGTTTGAATTAGTGGTGACGTGTAGTTTTAATACTTTGTTCAGGGCACTAATTGGACTTTCATACTTTAGTTGAGGATTATATTATTTTGTTTTCAGGTGAGTAGTTTCATGCTACATATTTTTATAAATGTTCCCCTACCATGAACTGTTGGAAATTAAATTGTTGTTTCATGACTAAACTGTTTTGATAAATTATTATATTATCTATGTAATCAAATTATTTCTGAAACATGTGTGAGCTTGGCATACTGCAAACTATTTGTTTTGGTCTCATGTTTATAATGATGAACTACCATGTTTTGCGCAACTGATGTGTATTGATTATTGGGACCATATGTGTATTTAGTCTAGGGAAATTATTCCACTGTGTGTGATGACTCTGACGACTAGGGAACAGATTCGGGTTGGGCCGTGATGATTCTAGTGCTCAACAATTGTAAGGAAAAGACTTTAAAAAAAAATTAGGTGACCTTCAATCGGATCGTCTTTGAGAAAAGGCCCAGGTGCCACCCTGAGGATGACTCTTAGTTCGGTATTGGATCCAACGAGGCTTATAGCCTTGAGAACTGTGTGTCATATTATTTGTTTTTATTGGTATCCAGAAAATTATTGGTGTTCATGTTATAATCTGTTTTAAGTGGAAAATGTTATTTATCATGTTCTTGCGAGACATGAGTATTTTAAGTGTTGAACTGTGGAACCTTCTTTTCGAAACAGATTGTATTATCAAACTGTATGTAAATCTAGTTTCTGTGATATATATCTTATTTTGAAATTGAACCATGTTTTCAAAACTGTATTTACTATCCATGTTGCTACTCACTAAGCTATCAGCTGACTTAGTTTTTATTACTTCCAGGTGTTAGAAGGACTTAGAGTGGACTCAT